ATATGCAGATATCAGATGCTGTTTGGGTCTGGCTACAGTTGCTAGCCAATTACTGACTTCCTTGTGTGCCTGTTTAGGACGATATCTGAATAAAGAAAAACACAAAAAATAAAAAAAGGAATAATTAAAACGGAAAAGTAAATACCGTTAGAAAAATAACAAATTCTGGTGTAACAACCAACTAGATATAAAAATAACGATCAGTTAAAGAATCTGAGCAGATATTCATTTACTTCAATCTGGGGGGGTTTATAAAAAAGAAACTTGGGCTGTATAGCTGTACATGGGACTGCAGGAACTATACTTAGAAACATGAGAATTGCTTGTACAGAGCCTATTAACCTGCGTCAGCATCTTGCCAGGATGTGTGTTGCGCTGATGGAGCATAGGGACTCCTGGGAGATTCGCCATCTGAGACAAGGATATGCTAATCCTGTAGCAATTTAGGGCCCTCTTCAACTGTTGTAATGGAGAATATCTTGCCCTCGTGTGTAATTTGCAGTTTAGCTGGATAGTTCCACCTATATGGAATGTTATGATTGTGGAGCGGCTTAGTAATCGTAGCCAAATTTCTTCTGCATTGCATGGTAAACTGCGACAAATCAGCAAAAAGCGTGAGGCCTTGCAAGCACTCTGGGAGCAGATCTAGATTTCTCATGAGGTTCAGCAATTTTTCTTTAGTTTTGTCTCTAGGCAGACGTTCAGATTTATGTTTAGGTTTAGGGAGCCGATGTATATGATCAATAGCAAGCTCCTCAGAGGGAGTTTCTGGCAATGCTTCCCTGAGTATTTTGTAGAAGTAAGCATGTAGCTCATGATGTTTAACAGACTCTGGGATTCCACTGATTTTTATATTGTTCCATCTGGAATGGTCTTCCATATCTGCTAGTTTGGTTTTCATCCATGTAATGTCATCTTCTCTTTCGTTGTGTGCATCTACCAGATCATTAAAGGTGCTAATTCCCCCATTTTATGTTCTATATGATTCACCCTTTCATTTACTTCACTAATGTTCAATTTGAATTGTTGGACTAAGGTCAGGATATCGGTATGAATAGTGCTTCTCAGTGCAACCAACATGTCCTTTAAGGTGGTGTCTAAAACTGGCTGATTAGCAGAAGGGAAAGCAAGTATGGAGTCTGCTAATTCCCTAGTGTCTTCTAATGAAAGGTCTGAGGCACTCACCTCTGTGAAGGCAGAAGCAGAGGACATCTGGTGTGGTTTGACCGGGCTTGCAGTTTTGGATGAGGCTTGTGAAGTAGGGCTGCTATGTTGTGGCTGCTTAGAGTGTGATCCTCTGGAGCTATTTCCCCCCTTCTCTGCCCCTGCAGCATGGTTGTGTTGCATAGGTGAAGAATCACTGCCGCCATCTTGGCTGTGGGGACGGAGTGGCTGTGTAAAGAAATCTGTCAGCCAGCTCGGTCTCTCTCTGCCTTTTCTCTTCCTGGACATGCTCTCTGATGGTGGCCAGTGCTATAGGGTGGAAAACCGCAGTATTCTGAGGCTCCAGATTGTGGCTATGTGCTCCGGCAGGCTTCCCACATGCAGAACTCTGCAATTAAGTGGCCACGTTGTCTGAGCTCCGGCCACGCCCTCTATTTATTTATTTTTTAAAGCTTATCAGTATATCTATTTTATTTTATTTTTATATACATACCTACTTACCTGTCCTAATCTACCTTATCTTACCTTACAATATAACTTCTATCTTAGAGTCCAAAGAAACAGTGCTAAGACAACTTAGACTTTATGTAGTAATGACCCCACAAAGTACTCCTATAAAGGGTATACATTTATTCTATTAAAAGAACTATATAGTCATCCAATAACAGCAGTAAAAGCCCAATGTGTGGTCATGATGGAATATCTGCTCACCTAAGCAGCATAAGCCCCCAAGCTGGTGTGGATGGTAAAGCAATGTGATCACTAGAAGCAAGCAAGCTGGACCGGGGACTGTGGCACACAGGAACTGATGTCACAGGTCCTGGGAGGAAGTGGAAGTTGGGCACCAAAAACCAGGCTGAACCGGAAACTGAACTGGTGCGCCGCGGTCCCTGGTCTGGCTAGCTTGCTTCTAGTGATCACCTTGCTTTACCACCCACACTGGCTGTGGGGCTTATGCTGCTTAGGTGGGCAGATATTCCATCACGGCCACACATTGGGCTTTTACTGCTCTTATTGAATGGCTATATAGTTCTTTTAATGGAATAAATTTATACTCTTTATTGGAGTACTTTGTGGGGTCATTACTACCTAAACCCTAAGTCTTCTTAGCACTGTTCCTTTGGACTCTATCACTTCTTTAGTGTGACATCAGAGGACTAAACAGCTTCCAATAATCTGGGATTTCAGCGCTTGGATCGATTGATGTTAACTTCTATCTTATCGTATCGTGTCTTACAATATAACTTTTTCATATCTTATCTTATTGTATAATATAACTTTTACAGTATCTTATCTCATCTTAGTTTACAATATACCTTTTATCTTATTCATATATCTTATCGTTAAGTCTATTTTTTGTTTTTTTAATCTTATATTATTTTCTCAGTATACATTTTATTTCTATATATATACCTACTTACCTATTCTAATCTATTTTATTTTATCTTACCATAAAATATATCTTATATCTTATTTTATAGCTATCTTATCAGTGTGTATATATATATATATATATATATATATATATATATATATATTATTTTATTTCTATATAAATACATACCTACTTACCTATCCACATCTACCTTAGAATATAACTTCTATCTTATCCTATCCTATCTTATCTTATCCTTATTTCAATTTTTGCTTTATTTGTTTGTTTTTTATTTTTTTTTATCTATCTTACCAGAATATCTTATTTTATTTCTAGAGACATGCATACTTACCAACATACTTACCTACAGAACTCTACACACTTACCTTTGGGATGAATGGGGGTGCCACTTTAAGTTGCTCAAGGTCATCCCAGTTGATAGCCCTGAAGAAAGGATGACCTCTAATATCTCCATTCATCCCCAGACAATGATGAGGTTTTTCAATCAGGAGCTGAAAAAGTAAAAAAGAAAGGTATAAACTCTCTGCTCAGTTGTTTGTAACTCTGATTCTCCTTTACATAAGACACGCACTGTCCAGTCGTGGTTTAATACAACAAAACTCTAACAACTGACAGCAAATAGCTATTTAAAATTACACTGACCCTTCCAGTACATTTGCCCTCACTTCCTGTCCCCGTGATGTCCATACAAGAAATGGGATTTGTTTTAACTGGGACAGGAAGGCACGGACAGTAATAGGAGCACTGTCAGAAGTTTGAAGTCTTTTACATGTTACTACAAAACCCGATTGCCTCTCAGGGGATCAGGAAGGAATTTTTTCCCTTGCAGGAGCAAATTAGATCATGCTTTGCTGGGTTTTTTTTGCCTTCCTCTGGGTCAACTGTGGGTATAAAATTATAACTTTTTTTTTAATGGTTGAACTGGATGGACTTTTGTATTTTTTCAGCCAGACTAACTATGTAACTATACAAAAATGTTTTTTTCTGTTTTTGTTGCAGAGATTTCCTGTACATCCTGTCCTGACAACAAACTTACACCCAGACTTTTTCTGAATCATGTATACTAACACTGATTATGACCCAAATACTTAAAGCGGACCTCCACCCAAAAGGGGACGTTCCGCTTTAAGGACTGCTCCCCCACTCCCCATTAATGATTGGCACCTTTGGGGGGCGGGGAGGGGAGCGGGTACCCGAATTTGACAGGTACCCGCTCCCACTTCCGGTCCGATCTCCTAGGCGATCGGAAACGGAAGGTGTCCTCCCTCCCTCCCTCCCTCTCTGTAGTCTTTTGGACACGTGACAGGTCCCAGAAGACTACAGGACCATTCATGAAGCGCAGCGCTACTCACGCATGCGCAGTGGGTACCTGGCTATGAAGCCGCAAGCTATCACAGCTGGGTGCCCACACTGAAGATGCCGGGCTCCTGGAATACAGGATGGCCGGTGAAACGGGCTGCGGGACACACACCATGGGACCGAGAGACAGGTAAGTGGCTGTTTTTTAAAAGTCAGCAGCTACAGTTTTTGTAGCTGCTGACTTTTATTTTTTGACAGTGTGAGTGGAACTCCACTTTGACCTACTGCTAGCACTTAAATTATCCTTTACACTGAAGCCTTAAGCGTTGATAAAAAAAATTACGACTGAGGAATTCCTAACTTTTAACCTAAGCCTCAGGAGACCTTTACCAGACACTCAGCCCTAACCCCGAACACTAAACCTAACTGTAATGTAACCCTTAGCCTCCTTACTAAGGCTAGCTTAGGCCCAATAATTCTATCCTTGCTATTTGTCTAAGATGTTGCTATAAAAGTATGAGTAGTCAGAGGTGTTACTGACTATGGGGCAAAGTATCAGAGTCCAAGTAGGAGCACAAACATCTATTGATCTTTAAGACCTATATTGTATGAAGGCTCAGTGTGATTCATAACTCCAGAATCCACCCATAGCTAGCTATGGGTTTTTATATAGAGATTCTTTAAACAGTTGTTTAAAAAAATGTATCAGTGAAAAAACAGGTTTGCGCTCATATTAATAACCCAAATATAAATATATCCACAATGTAAAAACATATAATTAATAAAAATGATTATTAGTGTCCAAATAGTGAAAAAAATACACTAATACAAAACAATTTTTCTGTTTGTCTTAAACGATTATCATTTTCAAATAAATATTTCTGTGTCAAAACAAATTCACCGTGCAATAGTCCACCACCAGATAAATTAAATGAACTCACCAGAGCAATATGCTGATCAAATTATAAACCAGCATAAGTGCTTTGTGTTCTGGGAGCAATACTCTGCAGAGGGATAATCAGCAATGTGGAGTATTTCTGTATAGAGATTTTAGTACTTTGCAGCTAGAGTTCAGTCCACTAGACAACTCCTCAATGATGATGAACTCTGACATGGATGTACCATTTTGAGCATATGGAGAGGCGGTGACCATACGGAAATACTCCACATTGCTGATTATCCTCCTGGAGAGTATTGCTCCCAGAGCACAAAGCGCTTATGCTGGTTTATAATCAGGGGCGGACTGACAACTCATGGAGCCCCTGGGCAATAGGGGATTATGGGGCCCCTGTATCCTTGCCCAAACTCAAAAAAGCCTATGAAAAAGGTACCAGGGGCATCTCATCTGGGGCCCCCTACTGACCCCAGGCCCTCGGGCAGTGCGTGAGTTTCCACATGGTCAGTCCGCCCGTGTTTATAATTTGATCAGCATATTGCTCTGGTGAGTTCATTTAATTTATCTGGTGGTGGATTATTGCACGTTGAAATATTGATTTGAAAATGATAATCGTTTAAGACACACAGAAAAAGATCATTTATATTCATATATATTTTTTTTTCACTATTTGGACACTATTAATCATTTTTTATTAATTATATGTTTTTACATTGTGGATATATTTATATTTGGGTTATTAATATGAGTGAAAACCTGTTTTTTCACTGATACAGGTGAAACTCAAAAAATTAGAATATTGTGCAAAAGTTCATTTATTTCAGAAATGCAGCTTAAAAGGTGAAACTAATATATGAGATAGACTCATTACATGCAAAGCAAGATAGTTCAAGTTTGTCATAATTGTGAGGATTATGGCTTACAGCTCATGAAAACCCCAAATCCACAATCTCAGAAAATTAGAATATTGTGAAAAGGTGCAATATTCTAGGCTCAAAGTGTCCCACGCTAATCAGCTAATTAAGCCATAACACCTGCAAAGGGTTCCTGAGCCTTTAAATGGTCTCTCAGCCTGGTTCAGTAGGAATCACAATCATGGAAAAGACTGCTGACCTGACAGTTTTGCAGAAAACCATCATTGACACCCTCCATAAGGAGGGAAAGCCTCAAAAGGTAATTTCAAAAGAAGTTGGATGTTCCCAAAGTGCTGTATCAAGGCACATTAATAGAAAGTTATGTGGAAGGGAAAAGTGTGGAAGGAAAAGGTGCACAAGCAGCAGAGATGACCGCAGCCTGGAGAGGATTGTCAGGAAAAGGCCATTCAAAAGTGTTGGGGACTTTCACAAGGATTGGACTGAGGCTGGAGTCAGTGCATCAAGAGCCACCACACACAGGTGGATCCTGGACATGGGCTTCAAATGTCGTATTTCCTCTTGTCAAGCCGCTCCTGAACAACAAATAACGTCAGAAGCGTCTTACCTGGGCTAAAGAAAAACAGACCCGGTCTGTTGCTCAGTGGTCCAAAGTCCTCTTTTCTGATGAGAGCAACTTTTGAATCTCATTTGGAAACCAAAGACCCAGAGTATGGAAGAAGAATGGAGAGGCACACACTGCAAGATGCTTGAAGTCCAGTGTGAAGTTTCACAGTCTGTGTTGATTTGGGGAGCCATGTCATCTGCTGGTGTTGGTCCACTGTAGTTCATTAAGTCCAGGGTCAACGCAGCCATCTACCAGGAGATTTTGGAGCACTTCATGCTTCCTTCCGCAGACGAGCTTTATGGGGATGCTGACTTCATTTTCCAGCAGGACTTGGCACTTGCCCATACTGCCAAAAGCATCAAAACTTGGTTCAATGACCGTGGGATTACTGTGCTTGATTGGCCAGCAAACTCGCCTGACCTGAACCCCATAGAGAATCTATGGGGCATTGCCAAGAGAAAGATGAGAGACATGAGACCGAACAATGCAGAAGAGCTGAAGGCCGCTATTGAAGCATCCTGGTCTTCCATAACACCTCAGCAGTGCCACAAGCTGATAGCTTCCATGCCACGCCGCATTGAGGCAGGAAGTGCTGCAAAAGGGGCCCAAACCAAGTACTGAGTACATATGCATGCTTATACTTTTCAGAATTCCAATTTTGTTCGATGTACAATCCTTGTTTTATTGATTGCATGTAATATTCTCATTTTCTGAGATTGTGGATTTGGGGTTTTCATGAGCTGTAAGCCAAAATCATCACAATTATGACAAATCACAGCTTGAACTATCTTGCTTTGCATGTAATGAGTCTATCTCATATATTAGTTTCACCTTTTAAGTTGCATTACTGAAATAAATGAACTTTTGCATGATATTCTAATTTTTCGAGTTTTACCTGTATATGCACTTTTTTAAGGTTAGGTTGTGCAGCTTATATTTTTTTCACTATAGTGTTTTATTTTCTGTTGGCGCTATCATTATTTTTTGTTTAAAAAATGTAATTCACTTAAAGAGGATTATAAAAACTCCTGGAAGGACAAGGGGATGAATATAAGTTTGTCATCTTAGAATGTACATTTGTTCATGCGAAGATGACAGCTTTAAGTGCTCCACCATGCAAATTCTACTTTGTTGGCTTTCTAGAGATTCATGTGGTGTGTTGTTATCTGTTGATTAAAACTAACAGATGTAAATTATATACCTTTCTGATGAGGTCCTCCAAATGAGGATCCAGGCCAAAACTTGGCAAAGCAGTAGACTAGAACCAGAGGGGCAATTCACCAGTTGCAATGGCAAACAACAAAGGCATACCAATCCACGGCTTCTTTGTAGGGCTTCCCCAAAAAGATCTGTCAAGATTAGAGAGATAAGACCTGTAAGGTGCCATGTTACACAAATGATCATAGCAGGCAAGAACTACAATATGGTAAGGATCTTTAGATGTGATGACATCTACAGTATTATAAAGACTGCTCTTTTCTTGTGGTCGGGGAAGGGGGGATCCACATTGCAACTGCCCTGCATCCACGTGTAATGCAAATGGTTGCAACAAGGTGGAGCAACATTACAGATTTGCCATAAGTGATTGAAGCAGGCAGTAAAGAAGTGACATATCACCTCCTCATCACCTGTCAAAAGTTTCTGAAACGTGATCCACCATCAGGGGCGGACTGACAACTCATGGGGCCCCCGGGCAATAGGGGATCATGGGGCCCCTGTGTCCTTGCCCAAACTCAAAGTCTATGAAAAAGGTACCAGGCTCATCTCATGGGGCCCCCTACTGACCCCAGGCCCTCGGGCAGTGCCTGAGTTTCCAAATGGTCAGTCCGCCCCTGTCCACCATAGATTGCTTTTCAGAGATGCGGCAATGTTAGCCACATGTCTAAATGTTGCCTTAGTAAATGTTCCTTGAGCCTTTTTTTTTGTTACGTATTTACCTGAACAAGCATTAGATGGGAAAAGGAAGTCAGGTTTTGCTGGAAGACAGTAACAAACCTAACAAAAAATTGCAGCTTCCATACTGGGCATCTTAGTTGTCAGATTGCTAGTCCACATAATTAGAAGCACTACCACTCCTACTAATAAACATTGCTGACATAGCAAGTAGGACTGACATGACTTACCTCTGGAGCTGCTTATCCCATGGTCCCTGCAATGCTTTGTCTATAGTCTGAAGCTTCTCTGAAGTCAGCAATCCTTATGTGGCCAGATTTATATCCCTGTAGATAGAAATGCGTTATCTTTAATGTTTTTATTCACACCAAGCCAGTTCTTTGAGATGCACTAAAGCAAGTGTGTTGAAGTTCATTATGTAGCAGGTTGAAGTGTACAGTACTGCAAAAAGGCAGCTCATATAATTTAATAGGCTGCCAATACACCACAACAGACCTTAAAGTGTTACCACATTACACAGAACATGGAAATGCAATTATTTAGTAAATATAAACTGCTAAATACCTTTTTCTTATGAGCAGTATACAGCAGTCTTGTGACTTCTATCAGTGTCCAGCAGAGCACAGGTTAAAGCTTGTAGGAAGAGGTTTCATTCTCCCTTGATTGTTCTAAGAGGCTGCAGGACTCCTGACCCTCTGTCTGGATAGCGCTGACTGGCCCTGTGCTGATCACATGCGTTCTCCCCAAAAGAAAAAAAAAACTCTCTAGCAATACACACCAAACTGAGCATGCTCAGCTTGCTCCCCAAGGCTCTGTTCTATCAGCAGATGCATTGGGGACAGTAGAAGGTGGGGAAGATTAGAGAAGACAGGATCAGCCAGTCTTTTTACACAATTCGGAGGATTAACCCCTTAGGTTCCACAGTGAGTATACGCATGCTTTACTGCACATACAGACTGATTTTACTGTTGTGGGTTTAGTAACACTTTAAATTGGACATGCACCATTTGTCTTCCCAGGGTGCAGCAATGTATGGTAGTGCACTACTCCACATTGTGGTGTGCTGCAAAGCCATAGTGTTGGAGGAGCATTGCCTTCAACATTACTTGGCAATTTGTTAATATGTGTATATTCCTTTTTATGATGAATTTCATGTCCAATATGCCGATTTATTTTAGACTGGGTTCATGGGGTTGCAGTATGTGCACTCTCTTATATGCCACAAATTAACATGCATCGTATTAAAGCAGCCCATTCATTTCAATGGGCTGCCTAACACTTTAGCAAAGTGTCTAACACATTGGCAAAGTGCATTAGGGTGCCATTAAAAATGAAAAGCACTGCAGTGCACCAACATACATAAAGCACATTTCTACTTTTGGAAGTGACATTCGCATTCCAGCCTTAATTTTGACATGGTGACACATAAGCAAATATTACTTTACATTTGCTACAAACAATTCAATTTTGTTTCAGAAAATGATTTAGAATCACAGTATTTAAAATCGGTGTCGGCCATCGGAGGTTGGAGGCAGATGCTCCAGATTCTCAGCTGTAGGAGAGGACAGAAAGTTAAGGGGATTTCAAATCCCCAAGGCTTTCTCACCTCTCCTTGCAGGGATGACAGTACAGGCTAAGCAACTTTTGATTGGTCTGCACCATCACGGTGCTGATCAAATAAAAGCTGTCTATCCCATACTGTCATCCCTGCAAGGAGAGGAGAGAAAGAGAGGCTCCCTATGCTCTCTTACAGCTGAGAATCTGGAGCATCTCCATCCTCTGCCTGATAGCTGACACCAGTGTATACATCCCCACACGCCCTCCTATCTCACCTTCCGCTCACTTGCTCAGCATGGGATCGGTGCTGGGAGGTTTCCCTCACCGCTCCTGTGTGGACTCAGGCTATTACAAGCCTGGGTTCACAAAGGAGCAGTGGGGAAACCGCAGGCGATTTGGACAGGAATCGTATTCTTGTTAAAATTGCATGCTACTCTTTGTGGTGCAATTTGCATCCATACATTGTGTATTGACGCAAATCACACCGCAAAGCATCAGTTTTGGTATCAGAAGCATTTTCATGAATATACACAGTATTGGCACCGATACCGATATTTTTATTGGTGCATCTCTAGTTCTCACTATTATACATCAAAGGGGTTTTCACATTTTGCTACTTATGTGGATGACTTACAACGTATTTTAACATATCTTCTTTACTGTATGTGGGAACACATATCAGTGTATAGCGGCAAGCCTTCATTTAACTATTATAGTGTCTGCTCCAGTGTATATGCTCATAGTAGTGCGGTGAGATAAACGGATATATTGAATACACACTGTGGTGACCGGTCTACTTTGCCTCTACGCCGCCCTATATCAGAAATGCTGCTACAGGGCGGCACAGGTGCGCAAAACCATATATATACATATATATATATACACTGTATATATACAGTGTATATATATATATATATATATTTATGTGATTTTGCAGTTCCGAGTAGGGGATGCACACGGTCTACCCGCACCGCCATTCACGGCTTCGGCTGTCAATCACCGGGTCACGGCTGGTGATTTCTTGCTGGCACCTGGTGATCGCCGAGTATCTCTGACGGGGGAGAGACCTCTGTATAAACAGCATAGATCTGTCCCCTTTCAGCTCCTGCACACTGCTTTGTATGGCTCTGGCATAGCAGAGTCATACAAAGCAGTGTGCTTACAGTGAAACATAGCACAAAGCCTCATAGTAAAACAGCACACAGTACACAGATTACCCTTTGATTGCACCACATGTTAACCTGTTCCTGCCTAGTGTCATTAGTACAGTGTCAGTGCTTTTTATTAGCACTGATCACTGTATTGGTGTCACTGGGGATTTCAGTGACACCAAGTCAGTTCCCCCCAGTCTCAGAATGCCCGCCACAGTCCCGCTATAAGTTGCTGATCGCCTGATCTGAACTTTCCTTCTACAAAGACTAATAGCTAAACTCTGCAGAATGGCGGGCATGCCCCACCAGACATGAACATTTCCATGCAGGGCTCGGCAATAGGTGCATTTAAAGTGACCCTGTCACGATGATAAATAAAGTTCTACCTGCAAAAGAAGTCAGTAAATCATACTTTTCCTTTCTACCCACAACACTGAACTCCATTTAGATGCTGAAGCCTTGATGTGTTTATCTCCTCTGTCTCCCAGCAGTGTGCACCTTGGTTCCCCTGTCAACCTCCAACCATTACAGTGACTTGAAGGTCAGCAAGAGGAACCAGTTAGAGCTATGGAGGACCTAGAGCAGCCATTCTCATCCTTTTCAACAAAGAGGAATCCTTGAAACAACTTTCTGGTCTCAGGGAACCTCTGCTAAAAATGACTATATCCAAAAATCAATATACATTAGAGTGAAGGTCTATGATAAGAATGCTACTTAAACTTGTGGTCATTGAAAAGAATTACCCCTCTGAGGAAGAGGCAAATCCTTGAAACGTGTCAGCTATTGGATGTCTACACTCCCCATTGCGGACTGTTACTCAGCACAGTGTTGACCCAGCTGTTCTTTTATGATGTGCATTGACTTTATTCTCGTTTGTGAGTACAACACCTATTTTATTTCTTATTAAACATTTTTTATGGTAATGCACTAGGTCTGTGCGCCCTCTCTTTGTTCTTTCCTCATTCAGATAACTAAAAAGATCAATGATGTCAGTGGGAACTTATTTGTAAGGCAGAAATTGCTGATTGCTCATGGAATCCCTAGGAACCTGTGGAGGAAACTTAGGTTCCATGGAACCCTGGTTGAGAAACCCTGACCTAGAATATTTATTTATTTCAGGTACTTACATAGTGCCATCAGTTTGCACAGTGCTTTACATATATATATTGTACATTCACATCAGTGCCTAACCCTCAAGCGGTGTACAATCTAAGGTCCCTAACTCACATTCATACATACACATACTAGGGCCAATTTAGAAAGGATACAATTCACCTACCAGCATGTCTTTGGAATGTGGGAGGAAACCCATGCAGGCACAGGGAGAACATGCAAACTCCAGGCAGATGGTGCCGCGGCTGGGATTCAAACCAACGACCATAGTACTGCCAGGTGGAAGTGCTAACCATTTAGCCACTGTGCTTCCCCACCTCTGGAAGTGTTGGCTGCAGTGTGGACTTCAGCAAAAGATTACCCTGCATTGGAGTGGAGCTTGGCAGCTTGGGGGCATGGCAGATAGGTACGTACAGATTTCTTTTACAAGTATATCTTCATTTAAAATCTTTACTATAGTCTTAGAGTCACTTCAAAGTGCACTTATACATTTTGCCCTCTCAGCCTATAGTATCCAAACATCCTACTCCACAGATACTTATTTACTTCCATATCATGACTCAATAGAATTTATATAGCCTTTCGTAAAATCTTCTTTGTGCTGGCCATACCTGTGCAGTCAATTTTCATATACAGTATATCTATTGAACCGTCTCCCAAGCATCTTCTGTCTAGGAAGATGGTCTATATAGAAGTCTAAAGGGATTAAGCAGAAAGCACAAAGAAGATTCTTCTGAATACTATCAACCATTTTGGTGGGCTGCAATGGTGGGATAAAAGTTAGTATCTGACATCAAAGGGGTATCCTTTTTATTGCGTGACTTCCATATTAATGTTTTTTTTTATACAAACATTCATTTTATTAAATGGATAAACTAGGTTCTTCAGGGTACAGGGGAATGTGAATTCTTTTCCTTCCACTCTGTAAGGCTGCATTCACAGATGGGCGTTTTGAATCGCAGGCAGAATCGCTGAGATTCTGCCCACAATTTCAAAATGCTCTGCAAAAATGACAAATGACTGAAACACATGTTCAGGTGCCATTCATTTTAATGGCACCTAAAAATGTGGTGCTGTTCTGCTGCAATTGTCACAAGAATTGTACTGCAGTCACGGGAAAACACATCACGCAAAGCGTGTTGCCCAAAGGAAGTTCCTGAACTTCTTTCCCACAATTCAAAATGCCCATGTGTGAAGGCACCAAGTACTAGAAGCAGTGTCAAGAAGAAGAAAGGTTTAGGAAGTATAGTTGAACTGACTTCACCCAGCACATGCAAATCACTCAACATTACTGAACTGTTAAAATGTAATAATATTGTATAATAATAATAATAATAATAATAATAAATATATTTATTGCGTACACCCATACAGAACCTTAAATTTATAGATTGAATATATATTTAATTTGTGTTTTCAAAACTGGAACAGAAAACATGAGCACTACAACAAAAGAGCAAGTTATTGTGCATACAACAGACCAATGGCAAATGCAATGTCTAAAATCATCTTGGGGTGTAGGTATAGAGAAACCCCCATCCTTAATTTTTATTACATATACACTGTTTTTTGTTTTTTTTAATGCTTGCATATTTTCCCTTTTCTACACTGATAAAAGGTCCAGTTATACAGCATGTCTCTCCTCTTCTTGCCCAGCTCTGACCTGTTTTCTAACCTGTGCACAAAAAATTAAAAACTAGAGTTCATTTTAAGAATGAAACTATTCAACTGTGTATGGTGTAAAGGGAAGCACAACAAGGTCCTATCAACTTGGAAAATAAACACTGTGGGCTAGACTTGGGAATAGCAATGGGCAGGGGCGGACTGACAACTCATGGGGCCCCCGGGCAATAGGAGATCATGGGGCCCCTGTGTCCTTGCCCAAACTCAAAAAAGCCTGTGAAAAAGGTACCAGGGGCATCTCATGGGGCCCCCTACTGACCCCGGGCCCTCGGGCAGTGCCCGAGTTTCCAAATGGTCAGTCCGCCACTGGCAATGGGCTGTAACTCTGTAGAAATATTGCCACCATTTGGATTAGGATGGCTGTTCCTTCCAGTCCTCTGCAAGCTTTCCCTTCTCCTGGAGGAAAAATTCTCCCTCCCTGACTTTCTGCCTCTCTCTCTTTCAGAACTTTCTTCCTATCCAATCAATGGCACCCACAGACGGTCTGCCATCTTGTCGTCCACCCTTTCTTCATCATTGGAGCCCATTTTTCAGTAAACTACAGTTGGAACATTACTACCTCTTGCTACTTCCTGCCTGATGTTCCCTACCTGCTGTGTGGTGAACCCTCACCTTTCTATATGATTTTGGTATTGTCTTCCTCCTCAATTGTCTTCCTCCTCCTCCTGAAAGGAGAAATGCTTGTACATGACATTGCAACTACAAACCAAGTAAACATAATGTACAATAAAGGCACTCTGAAACCAATGTGTACATGCAAACCGAAGTTAAGAAATCCTTGCAATTTAAAGTTACAGATTGAGTTTACTGTTTTAGGAAGTGAACTCTTTGGGGTAGGCCCGTACAAGCTCATTTGGTGGAGATTTACTAAATTCAGAGCAATTAGAATCAGGTGCCACTTTGCCTGGTAGCCAATCAGCTTCTAACTTTACCTTGTTCAATTAAGCTTTGACCTAAAAACCTGATTGCTGATTGGTTATCATGGACAGCTGCATCGAATTTGCATGCTCCAGTTTTAGTAAATCTCCTCCTGTATAAGCTCATTATGTAGACCTCCTTGAAATGCTTGCAATGCACATACAAATTGTACATTGATTCAATAATAAAGCCCACTAGACTACCTACAAGAAGGGCACTTGTGTCTTTATTTCAACCACTATAAGATTAGCTAAAGGATGTACAGGCCAGTAGTGATGAACCCTGCTGTTCACACTTTGGTGAGTGAGCGAACCATATGGCCCGATTGCCCACATGCTGCAGAGAACCTCTGAGTATCACCACTAATCAATTACAACTAACCTGCTCAGTGTCATGGTTGCTAGGATGCTGGAGACCGCCTCCATCCTAGCAACCAATGATGCATCCTCGGGCCCATCCAGCAAACAGTGGTGCTGGGAATTGTGGCTGTCATCATTGACATATATGGCCATATCTGGTCAATGATGACAGCCATCATTCCTGACACCTTTATTTACATTCAGCTGCTGAGCAGGGAACCCCTGGCTGGCCATAAATAGGGTCAGGGATCCATGTTAGGTTATTAAGATGCCAGCATCCTAGCATCTACTATACCACTTTGAATGACAGCATTTATGCTTTGCTATCATTTGTGGCAAGAGGAGTATCAAGAGAGGATCATTGTAGGACATTTACTTTGTCAACATTTTGACATGGTGAGGCAATATTTTTGGATAACATGGGACTCAATTTTTAAACATATAATATTACACTCTCACAAAGACACTATCATACATCACAGACTGGGTTTGGGGCATATCACAAGCATTTTATTTGAAGGAAGTTTGCATTTTCAAGGTTTCCATTTAAGCCTTTTCAAAAGTGCTGCTCCCCACAAAACGTTTATTTTTTTAATTGTTTTTTTTTTTTTTTTGCATTCGTACATATTCCCCCTAGCAGTGCCCAGTCCCTGCTTACTGTGCCCTGTGCCTGCTCCAATATTCTGATCCTATGAGTATAATGCTACCAGTGACCACCACTGAAATGGGGGCACAATGTAAGGGGGGCATTGACTAGCAATGTAATCTGGCACCGATATTTGTTGTAGTTATTTCCATAAGGATTTTATTGACGATGATATTAGAGTGGAACTTCCCTCTCTCAATTAATATTGACTGTTTTTTAATCCTTATGATGCTAACATTACTGTATAGATAGGAAAGTATATCATATTTACAGTACTTTTTCTAAACTTTTTTTTTTTTTACATTTTTTAAGTTACTTCCTTGTTTCCAGGTCTAGGCAAATGATGTCATACATCCAAGGGTTCTTCAGGAGAGGAGGAGGGGCTTTCTCAGCTAAGCACACTCGCCTGCATGCCTGAGCTAAGGGCAGATGGATCCGAAGAAATAAATGCTACATGAATCATCTGCCCTTATTCAAGATGGCCACGGCCAGAAATGCTAGGGGTTGTTTTTTAAAGTGATTTCTCAGAAAAATAGAGCATGGATGAATAGGTGAATTTGCTTTGAATATGAAAACTTATTTAAATAGCGTTTTTGGTTTTTGGTGCTCCGATGCAATGTAGTTCCACTCTAAACGCATACAGAGTATACAGGAATTACAAAGCACATTCTACATCAAGAACAGAGAATGTCAGGAAAAAAAATATACATTGTCACATGAAAGTAGTAGGAAAGTCCCAACAGGCCTAAAACTCGGGTATAAAATTGTAGACATTATGCAAAAAGCTGGGCTACTGGTGAAGCGGGAAAAACAGTTACTGCCTGATAGGCTGGCATGTACACAGTAATAGGGCTCTTATTGTAGGTAGACTAGTGGGAAAGGTAGGTATGGGGTGTAGTCCACTCAAATGTGAGATGAAGGTGATGTACATTGTAGTTTTCTGCACTGGAAAAAATTGCTTCAGGTCCATTATTGTGATACATTGGTAGTGCATTTTAGAAGAATGGAGTACCCTACCACAAAGCACATGAAAGAACAAAATGCTGTGGCCTAGTAAGGCAACTGCCTGAATGTGCCCTTGCAGTGCTATATGCAAAACAGATTTTATTTCTAGTTTTTTTCACATTTGAAAAAAAAGGCAAAAACAAGTGGGGAAGCTGCCCAGAGCAGCTATAAATTTGTTTGACTGTTAAACTCATAAAATAAAAATTTATTTGTTTTAATTTATATATAAAATTGTTAAATGTTATTTTTATATCATGTTCTCTAAATGTTTCATGTAATAATACAATCTTTTCACTAGGTGGCACTATGCTGCCATTTTATTTCTCTTGTCCTAGTAATTCTTATTTTGTTTACACATATACCTGTACGTGAAGTTTTGCTTGTCTCTTATATTCTCTTATGCAGGGTTATGCACACAGTTGATGATTAACTTTTCACCATCAAGACACGTGATGTAAAATCCCTTCTCTAGGGACACAAATACAAATAAAAACATATTTTAGTAGAATGTGGATGGGATAGAAATGTTGACTATGTTCTTATTGCTGACTATGCCTGTCCCACAAACAACCAATCCATCCCGCATCCTATTTCTTGTTCTGGCTGCACAGGGATAAAAAGAGGTGATTTCACCTCCATACAGACAGGAATTATAACTCTTCTTCACTCTGTCCAAACCTGTACCATGGGATTCTCCTAGAATCCTGTAGTTTACTCACTATAATTGATCTGAATTATGAATGATTTTATTTTTGAAGTATCCCACCCTTACTAGCTCACAGAAGAAGCAGAAAGGGTAGTAAATGTCGGCCAACAGTATGGTCAATATGTGTCACATATGTGTCCCCTAGATGTGGATCAGACCAATACAACTCAGTAGATTAGTGAACTCAGCTCTATTAGAGCCCAATACTGAGGATTGTCATCTGCAGTAACACACAGTAACATCATATTTCAGTTTACTGAGGTCAAGTCATCAGTCGTTTAATACAAGTTGGAGCCTTTACCTGCTAGACCAGGGGTGGGCAAACTTTTTGACTTGAGGGCCGCAAAAGGTTCATATATTGGACCCGGGGGCCGGACCAAGAGTAGATGAATGATGTGTATGTGTCATCCATAGTAAGTACAGTAAAATTCCCCCATAGTAAGCATAGTAATTAATCCCCCATATAGTAATTCATCCCCCATAGTAATTCATCCCCCATAGTAATTAATCCCCCATATAGTAATTCATCCCCCATAGTAATTCATCCCCCATAGTAATTAATCCCCATATAGTAATTCATCCCCCATAGTAATTCATCCCCTATAGTAATTCATCCCCCATAGTAATTAATCCCCCATATAGTAATTCATCCCCCATAGTAATTCATCCCCCATAGTAATTCATCCCCCATATAGTAATTCATCCCCCATAGTAATTCATCCCCCATATAGTAATTCATCCCCCATAGTAATTCATCCCCCATAGTAATTCATCCCCCATAGTAATTAATCCCCCATATAGTAATTCATCCCCCATAGTAATTCATTCACTTACCTTTGCTCCGCGTGTTCCTCTCGCCGTGTTCCCGCGCCGTTCCGGTCTTCAGGGCGGACTGTGAGAGGAGCCTAGCTCCCCTCACGTTCGTCACGCTGCCCCGCCTACACACATCCTGACAGCATCACGCTCCACGGGCCGGATTAAAAGGTCCACTGGGCCGTATACGGCCAGCGGGCCGTAGTTTGCCCATTGCTGTGCTAGACTATACTTGGAATAGACTTCCAGCTGAATTAGTGAGTAAGTCAGATTGCTGAAGTTTACTGATGGAATTCAGGCAATGGCAAAACAGTCACATCACATCGACATACATTCCAGAGTCACTTTACAATCCATAGTCAATCACCTTTAGTGGATGGTCTGCAGCAGTCACATGTGAAAGCATAAGCAGTACTTTAGCTCTACCTAATGGGGTACGCTCCCTGCAGTTACTCTCCTGATCCCAGAGTCATTAGTACTCATGCATAGGGCTCTGACTTGCTCATTAGGCTTTAGACATCCAGCTCATGACTCTCTGTTAGTCGTTCCAGAGAAAGGTTTGCTACAGTTGATCCTACTGAACTCTGCACACCTCTCCTGGGACTTCTGCCCTAAGCAGGTCTTGGCTGTGCTGACTACATCTGCACTAAGACTCCACCCCACCTGGCTTATATATGGGCCCTGACTTACACATGACATCACTACAGGAAAGACTTCTCTAAAAGGGGAGCTATGACTTGCTTGTAACATTTCCTTTTACTACACTATTTTAGAACAAAACCACCTAGTGGCAGACTAGCTAACTGTACCTGCTTACACACTGACCTTTCAGATTAGGAACAAAGACTTTCCCGGTCTACA